TTTTTTTTTTTAATTGCGTGAGGTTTAGCTTGGTAACAGATGGCCAAGCAAAACATTTTTCTTTTAATTTATAGCCACTTAATTATTCCTCCTTGTTTTCCTCCAAGACTATCACTCTGGGAATATTAGATTTCTTTAACTTTCGGGAAATGTTATAAATAATTATCTACTCAGTTCCAAGCCCACTGTTTAAGAATCCATAACACTGTTTCCTCTAGGTATTATATTTCCATTCACCCAGGTTAGGATAACTGGCATTTTGTTCTCCAGTGAGATATTATCAGTCTATTATCTCTAACATTTCCAAGAAAAATCTGAATTGATCCCATTTCTCATCCCCACTTACACAGGAATAACTCCAATATTAACTGTTGCATGTTTGTATTTGAAAGCTAAGTAGTAGTTTAAACACTTGCTCCAAGAGAGCAACTACAGGTGTGGTCCTAACTGAGACGCTACAATTTTTAAATGGCATCTTATTAATGAGGATCTATTTTCAGGGTCATGTTTTCTTGATTCCAGTGGGGGGAGGAAGGGACAATGAAGATTTATGGTACTTTACTGCTGTTAGCACTTCAGAGACCATTTAAACAAAATAAATAAATAATTAAATAAATTAGATTCAGTCTTAGTTCATCAAAACGTTACTCATGAATTTACCATGTAAAATCTATTACGGCAGTGAGACTACATATGAGCAGACTAGGAAGTAATAAGCATATCTGAGGTAGAAGTTATTGAGATAATACCATTTTATACTCACTGTTAAAACAGAAGCACACTAGAGCACTTAAAAATAGTGGCCCTAAAATATGGAAGTCTACATCGTTTGCTTTGCTCTCTGTAGTTTGAGCTGCAAGTTAAGTGCCTAGACATCAGTATCATTTTCCCCCGACAGTCAAAAAGCAAAAGTAAGCAATATTTTGTCAGGGCAGGATTTCAGTCTCGCTCACACTCGTATACAGATACAACAGAGAAAACAATTCTGTCCAGCATGCAGGGCTCAAACAAGGCTCAATAATTAGATACACTCCTAGCAATGTTGACACCAGATCCTCAGAGCAGTGGCTTTGTATTTTAATCCTTTTAAGTATCTTTCAGAAGGGAAAGGGATTGGAGAGCTGAAAAATGCATTTCAGAAAACACACATGCAGGCTACAAAAAGTTTTGCCTCCTAATAAACAATTAAACTGTCTCGAAACTGTAGGAAACTGATTGCATGGTATCTGAACATCTGCAAGAACTGTATCTTAACACGTAATGGAGTGTCAGGTTTCAGACAAAATACTGTATTTACTTGTATATGACGTGAGGTGTCATCCATCCGCCCCCCCCCCCACCTACACACACATTTAACAAGGGGGAAAAGCCTCATCATGGATTTGAGTACTAGAACTGGGGCCAGAGCTGTTGCTGCTACATGGTTGGGGCTGGGGTGCCTTGAGGGGGCACACACCAGGGGAGAGCATGAAAGTCTATGCAGCGTGTGTGGTCAAGAGAAACAGAGGAGACTGCAGTGGGCAGCAAAGTAGGAAGGGGAGCTGCTGCTGCAACTCTGACTCTGGCTAGGGACCAGAGCTGGAACCACCACACAGGGTAAGTAGTGGGAAGGGGGAGGCAGTAGCCAACAGATCCGGGCACGCACTGGGGCAGGGGGGAGCAAGAATGGGGACAAGCAGGAATGAAGCCGCTTGTCATCCCCTCCAACCCCCCGCCAACTTGCCCCCTGCTGCTACTTTCCCTAATGCAGAGGAAGGATGGGGTAAATTTAAGACAACCCCCCCAATAATTGGATTCTATACATGGAAAATTGTATAGAATCTCTCACCCCATCCTAGTTAAAAAACTAGGAGACTGTGGCATCGATGCCTACACAGTCAGATGGATTGCAGATTGGCTGAGGGGTCGCACTCAGAGGGTGGTAGTGGATGGGTCATATTCGACCTGGGGCGAAGTGGGTAGTGGAGTCCCCCAGGGCTCAGTCCTGGGGCCTGCGCTGTTCAATTTCTTCATCAGCGATCTGGATGATGGGGTGGATAGTAACCTGTTTAAATTCGCTGATGACACCAAAATCTGGGGGGAGGTGAGCACGCTAGCAGGGAGGGAGAGATTGCAGAGGGATCTGGATAGGTTACAGGGGTGGGCTAACAGGAACAGGATGCGTTTCAATACGGACAAGTGCAGGGTGCTGCACTTGGGCAGTAGGAACCAGCAGCACACTTACACAATGGGGAACTCCCTACTTGAGAGCACGGAGGCAGAAAGAGATCTTGGAGTCATTATTGACTCCAAGATGAACATGGGCCGACAATGCGAGGTCATGGTTGGCAGGGCTAACCGGACCTTGTCGTGCATCCACAGGTGCATCTCGAGTAGAGCCAAGGAGGTGATCCTCCCCCTCTACGCGACGCTGGTCAGGCCACAGCTGGAGTATTGTGTCCAGTTCTGTGCGCCCCATTTCAAGAGGGATGTGGACAATATGGAGAGGGTCCAGAGGAGGGCCACCCGCATGATCCGGGGACAACAGGGCAGACCCTACAGTGAGAGACTGCGGGACCTGAACCTATTCAGCCTCCACAAGAGAAGGCTGAGGGGGGACCTGGTGACCGTCTATAAACTCACTAGGGGGGACCAGAAGGGTTTGGGGGAGACGCTGTTTCCCCTAGCGCCCGCTGGCATAACAAGGAGTAATGGGCACAAGTTGATGGAGAGGAGGTATAGATTGGACATCCGCAAGAACTACTTCACAGTTAGGGCGGCTAGGAGCTGGAACCAACTTCCAAGGGAAGTGGTGCTGGCCCCTACCCTGGGGGTCTTTAAGAAGAGGCTGGATGCCTACCTGGCTGGACTCATTTGAGTCCCGTTTCTCTTTTTGGGGTTTTTTGTTGTTCTCCCGCCCTGGTGGGGGGTCGGGCTAGAAGATCTACTAGGTCCCTTCTGACCCTTAATCTATGAATCTATGAAAACATATATAAATTTTCCATGTATAAAAAGTCTAATTATTGAGGGTCATCTTAAATTCAAAGTCCTCTTGGATTGGGGCGGATAGAGCATATAGCCAGCTGACAGTAACAGAAGCTATCTCCATGTGGAGATGAAACCAGAAAAGGAAGGGAGGTAAAATAAACCCATTAAGTCACCTCATTTCTCTCTCCAGGGCTATGACTGTTCCTGGAGAGTATAATTAATATTTGCCAATATAGTTTAGACTTCTGAAGTGATGCATTTCTCAAACAACTTACTAAAAGCCAAAGACCTGACTGACTGCACTAATTCCTACCAAAACACTAATACTTCCAAATACTACTCAAAGTAAATTTTGACTCAACATATTAGGCATCTCTCATAGTACACAAGGAGAGAGGCAAGTTTCTCTCCATTCCAAAAAGCCAAGACACAAACTCCAAAAGCTCTTAAAATATATCACACCAACCAAGTCCAAGCAAACAGAATCAAGAATGAGATTCCAGTTCTCATGCACTTCACCGCATCTATCATATCACATCCTATTTGATAGGTAAAAAACAACCTATGTCTCCCTCCAAGTACTTTGGTCAGCGTCACAGATCAGAATCCTCAGTTTACTACTGGAACTTCTGCAGATTAGGATCCAATATTTAACAGCTGCTTTCATGGTTTCCTTTATTTTAAATCTACAAATGTTTCATTTAGACCTATAGACCTTCTACAGTCTAGTACTTTTTCCAGTAACAAGTATTTCAGTAAAATCAGTTCCTCCTTCACTTACATGCCAGAACATGAGGTAGGTCTTTTCCCCTGCTGATAGCACAAGCACCTAAAAAAAAAAAAATGAAGTGCCATTTTAGGGGATATGAATGACATCGGGAGTGGTGACGTGAGCTATAATTTAGGTTGGCAGAAGTGTGAAGGATGTGCTGATTTTGTTAAATATATTAAAAAAAAAACTTTTAATCAGATTTTACAATCTAGTATCAATGAAAGCCCTAATTACTTTAGGTTCTGCATTTAAGAAAGTTCTGTAAGAATAAACAAACCATGATTTATTCTTACACAGAAGTGTGCAACTTGAATTAATGAATATTAAGATTTCCTCAAAAATGAGCAAGAAAACATCATATTTAAAATACGTTATATCGAGCAATTAAAATGGAGCTATTTTGTTGTATTAAATTTTGGCATGAATGGTATACTCTCAATTGCTACAGATTTTTGTAGCAATTACACCGGATACTCTCAGATAAATATTAGAAATATGAAATGCAGTGTACCTGTTTTCGATCTCTATAGATTTATTCAGCTGACAAAAGGGTTCACCTCTGCTAACAGAAAATGAAATCTTTTTCAAGGGACTGATTACCGCTATGAACTGGATCTCTGGATTAATACCCACATAAATTATATTTGACAAAAAATAATATAGACAGCATGGACTATGCATTCCCCAATACTTTTTTGTAGGCTTCTCCTTTCAGGTAGTTCCAAATACCTTACTTTCCTTCATATGGATTCTGAATATAGTGAACAGCCATTTAAAAAAAAAAAAAAGCAACGGTGGCAATAATAGACATTCTTCCTCCCCCCACAAAAACTCTCAAAATTCAAACATGTTCCTTTCTACTTACAAAATTATGCATGGAGATATACTGCTGATGTGAAAAAAAAGTTACCAGAGTCAGGTCTGAGACACAGGAAAACATTTATTCAAGATGGCCAACATGTAGGCTGGGTCTAATCTGAGTTAAAATACACTCGGAATCTCCCCAGCAAAATCCTGTAAAAAAAATGGGAGCCCTGCCTCCAAGGAGCAAATTATAGGAGACCACACAAATAGACACAAAGAAATTGGTAATCATTAATATTGCCAAGGCAAAAGGAAATTAAATGAGCATCCATGTGGCCAGAAGTTCAACACCATGCTTCCTTTGGTTTGTGTTTCTCTGCCCTGCCCCCCCACCCGGCAGTAAAAAAGGAAAGAATCACCAGTTTCTTGACTGGCAAAGATCTTTTTTGCTTAGACCAGGGTTTCTTAACCTGGGGTCCACGGACCCCCCAAGGGGTCTGTGGATAGATTTCAGGGGGTCCATGAACTTGGATGGGAAAAAAAATTACATCTTTATTTTCACTAACCTCTAACTGAAATTTAGCATTTCCTTCAATTATGAATGTAGGCAAAATGAATGTATTTTGATAAATGCATTTCAATATAATTGGTTTCCTTTGTAATCCTATGTACTTTATTTTATGCATTTAAAAACATTATTCTGAGAAGAGGTCCATAAGCTTCAAACTGCCAAAGGGGTCCATGGCACAAAAAAGGTTAAGAACCCCTGGCTTAGACCATAATTTCTCAGTCTTTTCAAACTAAGGATCTCTCAATTTCCCTCCCCTACAACTTCCTCACAAATCAGCAAGTAAAAAAAAAACTCTCTCTCTCTCTCAAACTACTACAACTGATCTCTCAAGCTCTGAAGGTGTTGGCTACCATGAAGTTACTCTAATAAATGTTACATTCTTCTATTTGACACCGTAATCAATTTTAAAACCTCATGACTCTCCTTGACTGCTGGCCTTTCACAACCCTCACACAAATCCCCTCTGTGAAATATACTAGAAAAGGAAAAATACTATTTTTTAGTCGGGAGAAGAGGAGACTGAGAGTGGATTTAACAGCGGCCTCCAGCTACCTGAAAGGGGGGTGGGGGGCAAAAGAGGATGGAGCTAGACTGTTCTCAGTGGTGGCAGACGACAGGACAAGGAGCAATGGTCTCAAGTGGCAGCAAGGGATTTTAGATTAGATATTAGGAAGAATTTTTTCACTAGGAGCACTGGAACAGGTTACCCAGAGACCCAGCTAGATAAAGACTTGGTTGGGATGATATAATTGGATGGTCCTGCTTTAAGGAGGGGGCTGAACACACTAAATGAACTCCTGAAGTCCCTTCCAACTCTAATGTTCCATGATTTTATGATTCTAAATACAGCTTTGAGAAAAGACTCGTACTGTTTTTCAACCTGGAATAACTTTACTACTGAAGTTAAACTATATTCAGGGGATTTGAAATTAAAAATGCAAACATGCCATTAGATATACCAGCACAAATTGTGTCATAATGCTGGTACAAAATTAGAGCTGGTGCTTTGCAAATGAACCACCAAGTAAACCAATGTAGTATTTTGTGCTTTGTTCATGAAAAGATTTTCCCAATTAGATAGCAGTGTGAACGGTAAGATAGAAGACAGGTAGGTACTTGCACAAGTAACCAGACCTTCAATTCCAGTTTCACTGTTTTCAGTAGTAGTAAGATTGAATTTTGTGCATGCCACAGAAACTCCACCATCTGCAAGGCCATCACAAAACTCTGTTTCATTGTGTTAGTTCTTATATACCAATTAAAAAATAGCAAGCCAAGTTCTTTATGCATTTGCTCATATACTCTAACATTAGAAATGGAGACTGGGCTCCCTCTACGCATTACACTTAAGGTATGATTAACCAGGTAATCACGCATTAAGTTATGACCCAGGCACACATTCAACCAATTAATAGCATAATAAAACAAGCAATAAGCTACAAAGTTATTCCACAAAAGTGTGTAATAACTTGGTAGCATTTTCTAATCACACCATTAATTGAACATGCAGCCGAGTGCTCAACTGAGGGGCTCCCAGCCACAGGGGTGCACCACCTGCCAGCCCCACAGCTGAAAAGGTTTGCCATAGTGGCAGCACTCTCAGTGCTACCTCTACTGTGAGCATTGTCAACTGCAGGGTTTACAGCAGGGAAAGCACTGCTGCCGCAAGCCAGACTAGCTGCAGAGCTTGCAGTGGGGCAGCATCATCAGCTGCGAGGAGAAGACTTCTGCCACTGCAAGCCTTGTGTATGCTGCAGGGCTCACAGAAGGGACAGCGTGGGGAATGCTAACCCAATGCAAGCCCTGTCAGCTGCAGGGCTAGCAGCCATGAGGACTGGTGTATGCCAGGCTTCCCCTGCACTGGTAATACGTCACTACAAGATCTAACGCCCAATCCCACAATCGCACCTCCCACCATGCACAGCCACGAGCAAGTCTCACACCTGACAGGGCTCTCAGTCCTGGCTGCACTACACAAGCCGGATCAAATGCAGGACTTGCATGGCACAGCCGAGACCAAGAGCGCCATCTACATTTATTTAGCAATTAACAAGGTAATTGCCCGACAAGTCTAAACATGCAGAGGGCAGTCTAAGACAACAATTCTTCCCTCGTAAAGAACTTGGACCACAAGTCAGAATATTTGTGATGCTATGAATTCCTATTTGAAATTTCTAAGTTTAGCTTGCAAATTATGCATAAGTGTTTTCAGACCCAGTATTGCAAGGCACCCTTAACAGGACTTTGTTCCACCCCGGTTGAGAATCATTCCACTAGGTACTACAGTACCAAAAAAGGGTGAGAAATGGAGTCCAGAGAAACAAGAGTCAGCTGCGTGAAGGGTGTCTAAACCACTGCTTATGTGGTCACAATACAAAGTTTAACAGGGACTGACTTCATTCTCTTTTTTTTTTTGCTGATCCTCAAATAAAAAGATGTAGAAAGGATGTTCAGAAGTTCATTTACTCTAACTACCACCCCCACCCACTGATCGTTGATCCAGACAAATTCTCCTGGTTTAGGCCTGTCTAAATTAAGTCTCACTATTTCTTAGAGCCACAAACAGGAAAAATGAATTAGGAAGATGAAGAGACTGACTTACAATACAAAATTAAAAGGGCTGAGGCTTTATATGAAACTTCACAGGACAGAAATGTACGTAGAAAGGTGAAATTAGGTCCTTTACATGTTTGCAGGCTCTGATTATGCCTACTCCACTAGCAGTAAGAGAGCAACAGAACATATCACTGGAAAGAGTGGAATAAAAAATAATTTAGGCTGAATATTAGGGAAACTTCCCAGCAGCAACAGCTGCTAATCTATTTTCCCCAAAGGAAGAGGTAGTAGGGGTACCAGCTTATGACATGCAACATAGATTGGACAAAATAATAGCAAATGCAATGCCAGGAGAGGGTACTCTAGTGTAGATCACTGGTCCTCAACTTTTTTATACCAGGACCCATTTACAAAGATGGATGGCCAGTCCTGACCCAGTCCCCTGGCCCTACCAGTGTCTGTCACTCCCAAGACACAGCCCCTGGACCAAGACGGTGCAATCTACAGCCCCCTGCCCCCATCAGCCCTCAGGCCAGAGCGCAGTGCTTACAACAGCTCATGCAGACAGCAGCAGAGCAAGTACAGACTCGGCACAGACTAGAGGGAGAAGGGGAGGCCTACGGCACCCCCTACTGTGGACTGGGTTTCCCGAGCTGTGCCAGGCAGCCTGCTCACAGCCCATCCTGCCCTCTGAGCAGCATCTCCCAGCCACCCTGCCCCAAGTATGGGCACTGGCCCCAGAGCCACCAGCCCAGCTACACAGCTCCTTGTTTCCCCCAAAGGCCCCTGCCCCCCACCCACTCCCACAACCCAGCCTGGCTGCATGCCAGCCATGTGTCTGTGCACATGCAGATGGAGGTGTGCCCACTGCCTCCAATCACCCCAAGCAGCTCCTTGCAGGCTGGAAGGCTGCCAGCCTACAAGGGGAAACCCTCGCATTCCCACATTTTTCTGGGACTTGCTCACAGCCCTTCCAAATATTTTTGCAACCCATAGGTTGAGAAACACTGCTGTAGATGATACAAGGCATCTTTTCCCATCTCTTACTTCCATGATTTTGTATAACTATATTTGTGTACATCTTAAGTGGAAATCTTAAAATAAATGCCTAAATGATTCTCAGTGT